TTCAGTCTTACAGGGTTTTGATTTGTTTTCCGAAGTGCAGCAGATGGTAGTGGGAAAACAATAAGTCTTTGCATCCACTTTGTCCAGCACTGACAATTGTTCTTTCTGTGGCATTTGAAGAAACTATGTAGGTCACCAGCATGAGATCTGCAAGTCCTACATTGTGGAGACAACAGGAAAAACTTAGTTTGAAAATGTTTAGAGTATATTGGATGAACAAAATGAGTGGATTTAGAGAATATCCATCACTGTATAAAATTTTGTTAGACAATGTGAAGAACTGTGATGTTTAAGACAAACAGACTTGCCTCAAAATGAGTTTATGCCTGGATTTGTTTGGTGTCCCTTTTCTTAGGATTCACAAGTCAGTATTCAATTGAAGTGATTGTATGACTGCAGAAAATGAGCATGCTGGTTTGTAACAGAGAGGTAGTTGTGCATTGTATAGAAAAATAAAAATCAGAAAAAGAAATTTGTGTCTATATTGATAGAACAAATTGTAATGTTCTTGGAAACCTGGGGAGACAGGGTGTGTTCTGACAAACTTTCTCTGTTACCCAAACTGAACTTTATAGCCTGTATGTAATTGAGATTACAGATTACAGATTTGAGATTACAGATTCTTCTGCACTTGCCCTGTACTGGGATTTTTTTAGGAAAAAGCTGAGTTCTGAATATAAGGGGAATGAGAGCGGCCGTACAGTAATTGCAAACGGTGCATTGCTTGATTATGAGGTTTAATGTGTCATTAGGGTCTTGCTGACCTTTTTTGTTGATGCAAAACATGGGCAGATGTTAGCATGAGAGAGAAAAAGAGCAGAAGTGGATAGATGTGAGCAGGCCAGCTGCCAAAAGATCAGCTGACACTGTGCTGACATCAAGTGCAATCTGGAGAGTCCTTCTTACCCCTGCAAGCCTTTGCAATGTATCATTGTCTGTATATGCAGGAACCATAGCAGTGTCTGTAAACCAGTCTCTTGTCTGGTCAGTACATCTTTGTTGCTATGAGATATATTGTCCTTGCCTTGTTTTGGCTGATTTATCTGATCTTAGTCTATGCAGTTTGTTGTTTCATCTGCTGAGAACAGACAATTAAGAGGAAATGGGCATTTAGGTTGTCTTTTACATCTTCACTGGATTTGCAGAAGCACTTCCCTCTGAGATCTGCATGCAATGTGTTACTGACAGCTTGTCACTTTGTTGTCTTTTCCCATTGCAGTCTATGTAGCTTTGGATTGTGAGAGTAATAAAAAATACATTTTACGTGGGTCATAGCTATAGCAGTAGCTTGAGGAGGTGGTCTCAGTGAAGAGATGTACTTGTGTGGAAGAAATGGTTTCCCACAGCCTCTTGTGGGTTGCTTTGCTAACTGCTTTTTAGAGAGGACTGCAAGATGCTACTGAGTGGTGGATGATGTAGTGGAGGTAAAAAGTTCAACTGCTACAGTGTGTCCTGTTATTTATCTTCAGAAACCTTGAGATAACTCTGGTAAGTGCATCGTCCTCTTCCCTCCCCCCATACCCAATCAGTAAAGATCTGCTTTCATGTGTGGCTTCCTCTGTTCATTGTCTGTGCAGGGTAAAGATTCTGGTTCTGACACTTTTCCCAGCAGGAGTCTTAATTTTCATGAGAAGCAAACAGTGCTTTTGTCATGGCATATCAAAATACTCACAAAAGGTAATTAGATGGATGAAGGGAACCTGCTAGTGAGATGCATCGAAAGGGAAGTATAATAGTTTAGTGAGCAAGACACTGAGATCTAGTTTCTGCATTTTGCTTTGCTGTGGACATGTGTCAAGTCAGTTAGCTGTGTTTGTAGCGTAATGCAAAAAATATTTTATCTCCTCAACTTCTGCATATATGTATTTTCAAAATACATGCCCTTTTTGCAATGGGTTTCTTCCACTGTGTGTATGCATAGTGCTCACTTCCATGTGTGGATGCTCACCGGTACTTTGGAAAGTGTTGTAATGCCCATATCAATGATAATTGGAGTATTAGCCTGTCCAGGAAATTAGCTCTGCTTTTCGTCCTGAAAATGTGTCAGTGCTCCTCAAAAAATAGTATCTTTGAACTCTTACCTTTACACAGGGCTCAGAAAAGCAAGATTACAAAGCAGAGATGCAGCAAAGAGTGTAGCTGTTGGAAAGATCACTGGAAAGCTAGGAGGGTGAGAGTGGAAGGAGGCACTGTGGATATTGGCAGAGGTCCTCAATCTGCTTCTGTTGCCCAGCTGTATCAGGAGCCAGGTCTGTCCTTGAAGAAAAGGAATGCTTTTTTTTTTCTATTCTTTCCATTCCCTCCCCACCCCCAGACAGTATAACCTAAGAAGAATAAGGCTCAGAAACAGAATTAGAGGTTCGTGTTCTCAGTAAGGACAATCTGACCTTTCATGGGAAAGCAAGTTAATAAGAAATCTGAAAATCTGGAATAGGCTGTGGGAAACCATTTCCACCATCACTGGTTTAATGATGACTTGAAAAAAAATTCCGAACTAACAAATTCCTAGAGACAGGGAGCTGATGAGGAGGAACAAGATTCTTGAACCTAGTACCATGTTGAATAGGTACTATAGAAAAGCCTTTGCTTGCTTGTTATCTAAAGATGAAAAAGGAAAAAACATTATCTGTAAAGAGTGTATAATAGTCTAAGCTGCCTCTTAATGCAGAATCTCTTGCAGCATTGTTTAGTTCAGTAGGCTGTACTAAATTTCTGGTCAAGATTTCATCCACATCTGTGTACATTTACTTTCGTTGGGGTAAGAAGCTTCAGGTTTTCTCACTTTTCAACCCCTGATCCAACCCCTTTCTACTGCAGAAGGTCCAGCAAAAAAGACGGATCAATTAAACATTGGGAAACTGCTGCCTACAGCAGCTAAATCACATCTGATTTGTAGATGAGGTCATTTGCAGCTGAGGCAAGTATATTCGTTTTACACAGCGGGTGCTCACTCTTGGTGTGCTTTATCTCTTTGAGGCCTTTAACAGCTCTTTTCTTTGAGTCAGCTTTGATCCAAATCTCCACTCTCAGCTGTACAGCAAATTCACAAAATTGAATGTAGATACACAATTGCATGCCGTAAAGGAGACAAAAACCACAATTCCCCACCTCCCAAGAGAAAAGAAACTACCATCCTCCAAACCCCCAGACATGTGAAGTATCATCCAGTTTTGTCTTCTTCTCTGCCTTTGTCACAGATGCCATTTGGACCGTCTTACTTCTCCTGATTAAAATCTCAGGGGTCTTGGTTTGGATTTTTGTTGCTGCTGTTGTGTTTTTTGGTTTTTTTTCCCTGACATGCTGTGGTTCTTAGCATTCTCTTGCCTATTCAAGCATTTAAAACATGAAAATAAAGCCTTGGAAGCTTGATAGGAGCAAATATTCACTGTCATTAGTAAATTGGGGGAAAAGATAGGATTCAGCAGAAGATTTTCCAAGTGATAAAATACTAATGATTTTAGGGGAAAGAATTTAATTCAGTGTATCTTCATAGATACCAGCTGTTCTATATCCCCCTTGCTTATGCTGTCTCCATGACCATGCTTCAATGATTGTTTTGCTCAGCTTGATTCTTCCTCATCTGTTGATCCCTGCCAAGGCAGTGTTCTTGGCTGGTTTATGATACATGGAGTAAACATTCGCCGTCAGTAGTACAAAGTTTGTTCAGCAGTTTTAGCAGCCAGATATAGTCCTGAAGAGTGCTGCACGCATACTTGGATTAAATGGGCGGGGGTACCTTACATTTTACTTTGAAAAAGAAGGAATTCTCTAAAATGACAAAACACACAGACCCATCAAAGTCATGCTTTGATATTAGCCTTTCCATGAGAAAGCTCAACACAAATCTGTTTAGCTGGATGATAGCCAACTGGACATTTGCTAAGTATGAGGAAAAATGTTCAGCTGTAAATGCTTTGACATAAACCAAGTGTTTTTTCTCCAAACTCTCTGGGATGTTTACATGAGTGGCTGTTAAGCAGGTCTGTGCATTTTAGTGGCATTGTTCCTTCAGCCAGTATCTTCTTTTAACAATGTTTGATTCATCCCACTGTAATTTGTTTCCATGTACTTAACCTAATGGCTCAGTACTAGATGGCTTCATCTGCCTCTCTTGAAGGCTGAATCTATTAAATACTGCAACTGCTTAGTATAATGTGCCTTTCAGAAAAAAAGTGGGATCAGTACAGCAATGCGTATCAACAGTGTCCAACATTAAGTGCCTAACATTGGTGATGCCTGTTCTTGTTCATTGTGGGGAGTCTAGCAGGCCTGGAAAATAAATATGTGTTCAAAATGCTTTTTTGACTAGGTTATCAGTGCCTAGTGAGATGGATAGCTGTGGGGGAGGCTGCCAGAACTCAACCCTAAACCTGAGTGCACTGTTCCTGTTTATAATGCAGCTATTCTCTTTTCCTATAGGCTAGTGTCAGGCACACAGCATTTCTGCTCATGTGCATCCCTTCCTACAGTCCTTCCTACACCTCTTTCATCTCACTGCATTTGAGACCAAATTTGCCGTGCCCAGAGTATTTAATGAAGTAAGACTTTGCTATGAAGTTGTCATGAATAAATGGATATTGCCCAGACTCAATACTTTAATTTTATAATCTTTCGTGGTTTTTTTGCAGTTCTGCCCCTATTCTTGATGAGATACGTGAGCCCATGGGTATCTTGTAGTAGTGCATCACCCGACACACCATGGTATTGGCTTGGTCTGCAGAGAAAGCCTTTGCATCCCAAATAAATATATTTGCAGCAGAAAAGCAAAATTTCTGTTCTTGGGGGAAAAACCCAAACCCCCCCAAACAAACCCACACCACTCAACTCTCCAAGATTATGCAGAAGTTAAAATCCAATTTCTGCTGCAAGAACAAGCTGGGGCAGACTGCAGGCACACACGGAGACACAGGCAGGCAGTGAGTGCCTGTGTGACAGGGAGCAGGAGTGAGAGGAAGCCTTGAAACTTAAACTCCTCCTGCAGCTCTGCATCTGCTCTGAGTCACTGGTATGACTCACACCGACAGTGTTCACGTTAGCTAGCGTTCAGATGGAGCAGCTCTGGCAACAGAAGAAGCAGGTTATATTATTGATTACCTGCTGCAGCAGACACTTGCACCAAGATTTTTTTTTACGAGCACAGATGAAACAGAGGAGGCTCTACTGAGTGCTGCTATTTTTATTGGTATTGCTTTCTTAAGGTAAGAATGCCTGTTTATTTAAATATGTACCAAAGGGAATTTGGAGCTCGTGAAATCTGAATTGCTGTTATTCTCAGAGGATGCTGATCTTTGACTGTTTGCTGTGCCATATGGAGAATCATATGGCTAATGGGCAGTGTGCGTCCTAGGAAACAAAATAACTACTTTCTCATTCATTGATGTTATGTAAGGCATGGCAGCCATGTTAAGGACAGAAGACCTCTTTTGAAGAAACAGTGCTGCTAGATGATAGGGCAAGAAAAACAAGTAGTTTTTAAGCAGTTCTCTGTCCTTTGGAGAGTGCTGCAGTTCTCTAGTTCTTGCTTACTGAATTTCTATGTCAATAGAATAAAAAAAGCAATTGCATTAGAAGTAGCAAAATAATTGTTTACCTTTAGAATCACTGTGTTGTTTTGCCTTCAGCATTCAGGCTGGGTCTGTGCATGTGATCCATGCAGTGCCTGGATGTAAACAGTTTCTTCAAATACTATAAATGGTGCTTCCAGATATTGGGGTGAATTCCAAATCTTCTGCTACTAAAAGCACATATGTCATATTCTGACAATTAGTAATATGCAAAAAATGAGACATATTCTAGTTAGTGTAGACATATGCAGAGTAGGTATAACATTTGTAGTGGCTTTACTGCTATTTTACTCATTTTAGTGCTGTAATTTTAATGTAGGTTAGACTGGTATCAGTTATGCTCATGTAGAATCCACTAAGTCTTGAGAAATTGATGTATTCCCTACAACAGATTTTATAAGCTAGGGATTCTGGTTTTGAACTGCAGTAGTGAATTTATCTTAAGTTATTTTTTTCTTTTCTCCTCTTCCCCCCTCAACCCTCCCATTTATTTTGGATTTGCAAAGCAGTATTCTTTTAAAGTGCATCATACAGTGAGGCTGGCAGCTGCTTTCAGTAATAAGGAAGCCAGATCACTTGTATTTGTTTTCAGAACGACATTGCTATGAATTAACCAGATTGGGCATTATTCTAGCTTTTAAAATAGATTTTCTTAATAAAATGGAAAGTAAGGTCTGCTAGGGCATTTGTAGTATCTTTATACTTCTGGTGACATCCAACTTGGAAAACTACAGTGTAAGAGGAGCTTTTAAAACAGTGTCTGTCATGGATGCCCAACTCCCAGAGGAAAAGTTTTGTTGACTGATTTTAATGACTTATGTTTCTGACATGAAATATTTCTCACATTGCAGCAGTATAAATGCAAACTAGTTTAAGCAGTGTTAGGGTTGGTTTTGGGACTATTCACTAACAAAGTTCTGGCATGTGACAGTCTCCTCCTCCTCCCAAATACAAACAAGTAGAAATAAAACATTCTTTATAGTCTTTATTTTTCCACTGATTTCTATCTTAATTGCTATTATTTAAGATTGTATCAGAACTGTGCCTTAATGATTGCCTTTAAGTATGCATTTAAGTACCAATTCTATATTATGTCAGACAAATAATTTATTATAATGAAACTCAATTACCTTCAGTTTAGTTTACATAATTTCTTTATTGTAACACAGTGTGGACACGGTTAAATAATTAACGTTAAATTCAATGTTTTCAAAAGACATTTCAAGAACATGCTTAACATCTAGAAAACAGGATGACAGCCCCTGAAACATCTAAAAACCAGGATGTCTGCCCCTAAATCAATACAAACCTCAAGACATCCTCTCCATCTATTTGTCCATAGACTTTTTGTGTAAGAGCTGACCACCAGAGAACTCCCTCTGATTCATGTCATCCTCATGTCCTTCTGCCACTGGGATGCCACTAAGGAAAAAAGAATGTCAGCTCTAAAAAAGGACAAAAAGTCCAGTCTTGAAAGATAGCTAGACAGTTTGCTGTATGTGAGTTGGAGAGCTGTGAAGAACTAATGCAATTCTAGTAGTGATTGTTGTGATAGCATGTCAGTAATTATGTAACTTCTTTGGAATATAGTAGCAAGTTACAACTGTAAACATAAATATCCAAGGTAGGAGAGATTTGTGCTCAAGGTAGGATAGCTGTGTTAAGTGGAAAGGAACCAGCTGCATTTGATCCTTCTATGGAGGGATTTTCCAGTAAGGGCTTGTCAAAGTCTGCTCTCCAGGCACCCTGAAAGCTGGGTTTTGTTACCTTAAGATGGCTTTGTATTATGCTGGAAAGGTAAGCATGGCAGAAGCTATTTGGATTTTCTCACTGGTATTTTTGGCAGGACTTGAATGGTGAGAGTTCATGATCTCCTTGGCCTTTCTTTTTAGTAAACCCAAACAGAAGATTCCAGCTCTCTGTTCTCCCCTCCTGTTCCTAACCTACAGGATATCACGGCTGTTTTTCTCATCTCTGCATTACTTCAGAGCCATGCTTTGTTATTTTTGCCTTCTCTAAAGCTTTTGTGAAATTGTTGCTGAAATTTAAGGCCTCTTTTTGATTCTCACTTCAGCTGCTCAGGTGTGGATTCTCTCCCTCTGGTAGGTTTTCCACCTAGGAAAGCCTTGAATGCCACAAAGCCCATGTAACTCAGCACTTCCCTTTTGCTCCTCGTGATGCTTGCATTCCAAACAACAAGTGTGGTGTTCAGGCTGTCCTGTGTTTGTTTCTTCCTTTGTAAAACTTCCTGCTTTTTATTTTATTTTATTTTTTTGGTGTCTTCCTTTGTGGCCATACTCTAACTGTGTTACTCTGAGCCCTTTGTCACCCTTCCTGGCAGTTGGGGAGCTGCTGGAATAACTCTGATCTCTTCTATGTTCTGCTCTCTCAGTCCTTGAGCAGAAGTTTCAAAACAGACAGTGGCATCACCCTTAGGCATGTTGTTCTACCTCTTCCTGCTGTGACAGTGGGAAATGGCTGCAGGAAACAGCTGTTGCTGTGGGTAGTACATGGAGAAATGGGGACCCTAGAGAAATACAGCATTTCTCCAAAATTCTTTAGTGGGAGGAAGCATCTACTCTCCTATTTTACACAAAAGCTGCATTAGCAATTATTTATAATTAGCCTTGCCTGATGAAGAACTATGGGGAATCCAATCCTGTCATTGCAATTAATTTAATTTATGTGAGTCATCTTTAATAGGAGTGATATTTTTTATTGTATTACAGTTTTTGATAATGATCAACTTGAACTGGACCACTACTGTATCAGAAGCTGAGTTTTATACAGAGTAAAAGATGACTCGTGGGCTGAATAAGGATTTATATTTTATCCCCAGAAAAAATGGTGGCCATATTTTCTATGGTGATATGCTGTTTGACATTAGACTTCCTGAGAAAGGACTCTGCAGTGTATGAAAAAGCAGCATCTTGGTGTTTGTGTAATACATCCTTGTCAGAGAACAGCACAGCATTTCTGTTTTCAAATAGGAATTTGAAATGGAGGGAAGGAAAAATTTTATGAGTTGGGGTATTTTTCCAAGTTTTTGTTTCTTTTTTTGCATGTTTGAAATAAGCCCATGTAAACTGGAGATACATTGGAATAAAATCCTTGCATGTGAGCAATATGAGTCAGAGCCAGTGTAAGGATGAGGATAGTTCATTTTGCTCTGGTTAAATGAGGTTATGGCCTGGATTATGATGGCATGTTATTTCTGTGCAGAACTGTCCTTGTATTTTATAGGGATGTAGAAATCTGGGATTAGCTTAGTTTTCATTTCAAATTGATGCTTTGCCTTTAAAGCAGCAGAGTACTTCTGACTTGTCTTCATGAGCTTAAATAAACAGCACCTATTTGCTAGGTTTGATGTCTCACATAACTGTGAATTGACCTTCTATGTTCAGGTGAAACACAGTTTAAAAGGGAATGGTTTCATGATCTTTAATTCAAATTTACTTTTTAGATAAATACTTGATAGTGCCAGATGGCAAGGCAGCTACAGGCAGAGGTGAATAACAGAGCATGCAGGTTATTTGGGCAGCAAGTCTGCTGTTAAAAAAAAAAAAAAGTCAGCACTGCAATATTCTGGATTGCACTAAATGCCAGTAACTTCACTGGGTTTCCTGTGTGTGATAGGTGAATGTATTATAAGTCCCAGATTCCTGAAATACAAACTGCTATAAAAGATTTCTTCTGTCTCATTTCAAAAATAGACACAAGTGATCTGACTTTACAGCATAAGATTTATTTTTTTCCAGGCTTCAGTGTTATTTTTGTCAAGCAGTTGGAAGGGCTTCTCCTGAGAACATATGGAGCAAAATGGTAAAATGTTGATTTGTATAATGCACATACAAGAACATGAAATAAATAATGGCATGTTGACAGTGTCCTCTGATGTTTCAGGAAAACTTGGAAGAAGAGATGTTTTGAGCTCTGTATGATAGTATGGTGGATTTGTAAGAAAAGGATTGTGTCACAAGTATTACTATCACTGAATATTAGTATCATGGCTCTAAATACATGTCATAAAAATACATGCAACTGAGCTGGCTAGAGTGAGCTCTTTCTGTCATAAATTCTCTCTCAAATGTGGGTGTTTGGGAAAAGTTACTTAAATTATTCTCTGTTCCTGAGAGAAATAGATGACTTTCAATTGTGTTTTGGTAAACAGGAGGTAGTGAGTAATAGGAAGAACATGGCCTTTGTGGTTTTGCCTGCACAAGAAAGATTTCTCATCATTGTCCCATAGCTTTATAGATTCTGATGAGAACATGATATTATAATGCTGACACTTCTACAGAAAACTGATTTTACACAGGAAAGTTGCATGGAAAAGTGTCTACACTTTCACTGGTTTGTAGTAAGAGAGGCAGAGTGCATGGGCATAGTGGAAAGAGATGAGCACCTTCAGGGTACAGAGAGCAGTGAGAGGGTGGGATCTTGTTGGGCACATGGGAGGATAAACATCCATTTGCACATTCAGAGTGTGAGGGAAACAGCTTCCTTTATGTACGGAAGTGAGGGAAGGCTGTCAGTGTCTGTGTGTGTGTGATCTAAGGAAGGGAGGGGTTTAGCTTCAACACCCATGTTGTCTTGATTCTGACTTCCTTGTAATGTTTGCCTTTTTTTTGGCG